AACAAACCGAGAAGACCCAAAACAGCATACTTCAATTTAGGATAATCATTCATAAGAATTGTGACCATTCCAACATAGGGAAGAATACCTTTAGTACGACCAACTACATCGGATCGGTGAAGCCACATTTGTCCGGGTGCGTAGAGACCGCGATCATCAACCTTAAAGTATGTACGGCTTCGCTTTCACCGCTGAATCAGTCTCAATTATATTACCTGGTTGTTGTCACCTTTCGTGAGGAATTTTGTATCTTGAGGTGTTTTCTCATGGACCTAAAAGGCAGAAAGATACCATTGAAAAACCACTGCATTGTTATTGCGTACCTTGATTACTCGATGAACAATAGGTATGTCTCGACCGTCAATTTTGAAAACTGTGATATCTCCTGTCCTGATTGGATCGGCCTGATCATTGGTAAGCAATAGAAGATCCCCACGGAAAAAAGCCGGCTCCATAGAGCCTGAAAAGCCGTTCAAAAAAGTACTTTTCGAAAGTATTTTGAAGTGAATATAACCTGAAAGAACGACAACTATGGGACTTTCGGACCCAGTAACAACCATTAAACCTTTCCATATCATAAGAGCTGATGAGACCACCATCGCAAAGTTCAGGCCCTATCAAAGTATAATTATTGGCGATTGCATAATTATGACAAGCCTTCTACCTGGTATATAAGCTGCCGAAAGTTCATCCGCCTGATTTCGTCAAACATGGCCAAGTCCAAAAGCCCCATGTTGGCTAAATAGTCAATTAGAAAAAAAAATTAAAGAAAAGAAAACAAAGACAGATACAGTGTTGGCTCATACAGCGCGCAAGGAGAAAAATATATGTTCACAAACTTCATTGCGTTCAAGGAAGAAACAGATGTACAAAAACAATGAAAAACAAGCTGAGATCACAGTCACTAACAACGTATTTTACGTATTAATTCAATGCGATTATTCTTTCTTTCAATAACTACCTGTTCCTGTACTTGATCAACCAACTGGATTTTTGCTAATTGTTAAACAAGTGGCTTTCAATCTAATATACAATCTTGGATAAGACGAATCAATTGAGCATTAAAGAAAAAAAAATCATTCCGTAGAGCAAAGACCAAGATAATCGTCCATCAATGTTCCAATGGCAAAAATATCGTTAGCATCAACTCGTGTGCCAATCAGTTTAACCTAAAATGAATGCATAGCACAGATTTTGTCGATAGATAAACACAAAAAAAGGAAAAGGACAGATTCTGACTTGGTGTAATGATATCATGCACACTGAAACAACAGCGCAGAGAAATAAACGACAATCGTAAGCGAAGTAATAACACGATTTGTATCCGGCAAGTTACCTCAATACTTTGCATGGACTAGAACGCTGTGCATTGCACAACTCTATGAAGCAGCAGTTAGGAGAATCCATAAGCTCAAAATATGCGCATTAGTACCACACTAGCACAAAAATAACACGATGGCAGAAAAAGTTCGTGCGTCGACAAATTTTGTATCTATCTGCAACACTTTTGTTGGTCAATTAGAGTTGAAACTGGTTATTAATACTTCCTCACTTAGAGAAACTTTGAAGATGAGTCTTCATGAAATGTTTGAAACCGTTTTAATCTACTTCTATATATTGAATCAAACTACGCATGTTCATATTTCTATGGCAGCGCGAAATTTAGTACCCAAATGTTATGGTCATTGAAAACCAGTATGACAGATATGTAACTGCTTGTGTAAACAGCAAATCCTGCCCAGCTATAGGAATCTCATCGTTCAATTTCACCGAACTACAATACTAAGTCTCGTGATTCAAATAGAAAGCACTCATGCACCGTAACGGACTGAAATAACAACAAACCCTAATCTCATCATCCTGCTTAATGATGGATGTTTCGTCTTCTGTTTTGTAGCATGGTGGATTTGAGTTGGGGTCAAATTCCATGTCTGGAGGAATGCAGTGACGAGAAATGAAGCAGGACAATGGGCCAATGTCACAAAATATGCCGACTTTGTTAACCTGGATATATGGCAACCAGTTGCTATAAAAGTCCTGTTTGATTGATATGTTTTGATTAGTTTTTCATACCTGATTTACAACAGCATCAACAACCTGGCCTTTGAAAGGACGGAAGACAATAGCTTTGTATTTCACGGGATAAATAACGAATCCACGCCCTGGAGTGATCAAATATGAACAGGTATTTATAAGCAAAGCTTTGTATTGGAACAAGCAAACAAGCCTGGCTGAATAAGACCATGCCCAATCGTATCGATTGTTGTAACAGCGATGACGAATCCGAATTTGCCCGTGCAAGTGCCTTCCACTTCAGCGAATAGCTTCATCTTGATGGTTTCATTCAAATTAGGTCCAAAATACTTGGGATGAAGGCACACTTCATGTTCCATGGATAAATGAAAGAACATCTCGGAGGACCTGGAAAGTCCAATCTTTATCAGATTCTATGAAATCGAGGAAGCAACTCAGCATTTATGTGATACAATCCGCAGATCAAAAGATGAATAGCATTCATTCAAGTAAACAGTACCTAACAAGGAGAAAGGACACAACTCATCTAGAAAATACGTTGAGTAATTAAAAATTGAGAAATACTGATAGACTACCCATTTATACTTTATCTGCATCATGATGAGTTATTCAGCTACTACGACTTATCCTTTGCTATTAAGAAGATATATTAAAAGATTTAGCATTTTAATCAGATTAGGATTCGAGTGCAGAAAATTACGGTATAAGATCTTCCGGAGATAATTAGATTAAAATCAAATGCACACATGAGCGGAGAATTTTCACGAAGTACGCAAATGCCACCTATAACGAATTGTGAAATCTTGGTGCTCCGAGTTGCA